CGCCCCGGCTCTGCGTGGTGGGCAGCGGCCCCGCCGGCTTCTACACGGCCCAGCACCTGCTCAAGGTACCGCAGCGCCCTCCCTGCCCGGCCTGGCCGCGTGGGGCCTCACCGGGTTGTCTGGCGTCTGCACGCGGATACCAGAATCTGCTGGGCTTTCTAGAATGCACCAGATGGTAGAACGAAATCCAGAACGGGTAGAACAAAACTGCCGTCTGCACCCGTAGCTCCCCGCTGCGGTGACATGGGCTGCTGGCGGGAGGGATGCGAAGGAGCTGCCTTCCCAAGTCCTGCTGCACTGGGGCGAGCGGGCGGGCGCTGCCCGGGGCTGCGGACGTCGGTGCTCCGGGTGATGCGGCTGGAAGGGAGGCTGCGTCTCAGGGCAGGGCTGCTGGTGCTGAGCAGAGATGCAGCAGCTCAACCCGGCCGTTAAACTGCGCTGTGCTATCTGTGGAATGTGCTGGAAAGTAGCTGTTACTAAACCTCAGGGGCGGATTTCAGGGCTTCCTAATCTCTGGGCAGAGGCTGGCTCGAAATGCAAGATAACAAAGCACTTGAAGCAAAGCTTTTGTCTAAAACCCCCAGCGCTGAGGTGTTTTGTCCTGTTCCCCTTGTTCTGGCTCTGGGCTCTCAGCACATCCCTCCCTCCTGCCCCAGCAGCACGCGAGCGATGCGGGGCCCTCCCGAGAGTGCTGGCCTCGCGTGGCCTTTGTCCCTGTCCCTTAACTGCGACTTCTCTCCCCGCAGCACCATGACCGGGCGCAGGTGGATATCTACGAGAAGCTGCCCGTTCCCTTCGGGCTCGTCCGCTTCGGCGTGGCCCCGGACCACCCCGAGGTGAAGGTGGGTGCTGCTCCCACCCCTCACCCGTGGCATCTGCCCTCGTCACATCATAGGCGCAGCCGGGGCGGTCTGTGTCCCTCCTGGTGCCCCGCAGCTCATTTCGGTGTGGGGCTGTCACGCTGCGGTGGCCGTGTGATGTTCCAGTCTCCTGCTTGTCCCCTCTGGGACCCTGCAAGGCCCTGGGTTGGTGACAGGGGACATGTGGCTTCAGGCCTCCGAATGCCAGGTCAAACACGGGCTGTGTGATGGGAGCCACTGCTGGGGGATGAACTCACGGCACTGGTCAGTGTGTGCCAGGGCTCAGCTGAGACCCGCTTGGATCACTGGGAATTGGCAGTTCTGCTTTGGCGGGGGCTGCAGTTGGGCTGTGTGCATGTTTGGGCTAAGAGAAGGGAAACCAAAGGGATGCCAAAGTCACCCTGTTTCCCTTATTGCAGAGGAATCGGGCTTGGTAGCTGCTGTGTCTGAGCTGGGGTGGAGGTGGCTGCACTAGGAGGGTATAGGAGACCCAGAGACAGCAATATTCTGTGACAATTTCTCCATATAATCTGCTGAAATAGACCAAAATGCCCCCATCCATTTGATTTGAAAGGCAAGGAGTAGTGCTGAGCACAGGTGGGATAGCTGTGGGTTGGAGCAGTTTCTGCATTATCGTGATCTCTGTGCTGTTATCAGTGTCATTGGGCCTGCATGGGAAAAGAGGGGGTTTACTGCAAAGCTCCATCTGCTCGGAAGAAGCAGCTGGGGTGCTGCCTTGCCTCGTGTCCCCTCCTGGTGCGGAGGGTTCCCAGGAAGGCTCGGCACGAGGCTGGCAGGCAGCGGCCTTGGTGGGAAGGCTTGTTTGGCAGGGCCGTGTCGCAAGCTTCACCTTTGCTGAGGAGTTTTCTCCCACTGCAGTGTTTACTTAACAGAGCTAAAAATACTAAAAGCTCCTCATCTTCTCCAAGGGGGTGCAAAAAATTGATCTTCCTTCCAAAAAATTGATAGGGGAAACGGTGCCAAGTCACAGCTGTGTTTATCTTGCAATGAATTATCTGCGGCCGTTGCTAGATAAGAGCCTCGGAATAACAGCGAGAAGCGGTGTCAAGGCTGGGGAGGAGAGGGGATGGGAACCTCCTGTCACTCGCAGACCTTGGCTCCTGGCTGCAGCCTTGTGGTGCTTGTTTGATCTCGGCAGAATGTGATCAACACGTTCACGCAGACGGCGCGTTCGGATCGCTGCTCCTACTACGGGAACGTCGCGGTGGGCAGGGACGTGACGGTGCGCGAGCTGCAGCAGGCCTACCACGCCGTGGTGCTGGTGCGTAGCAGGAGGCCTGGAGGCTGGCCCTGCCTTTGGGGAGGCTGCGGGCAGGGTCTGCCGCGTTGTTCCCGTTGGGATCTTCAGGAGAGGGTTTGTTTGGGTGAGGTGTTTCTGGGTGCCGAATTCCTGTGGTGACTGAGCCTGTCTCCAGCTTTGGGGCAACTTCACAACCCTGAGGCTCTGGGACACGTGTCCAAAGCCTCGCAGGGAGCGTGTGGTAGAGCAGAACACCAAAAGCAGATCGCAAACCCCAGCGGAAGGATCAGTTGTTGAGGAACCTGGTCCCTCTAATGGCCAATATGTGCCTGATAGGAATTTGTTGCCATCTCCTGAGCGCTGCCCTGGGTTTGTCGTGGTCTCCTGGTCGTGTCTAGGCTGGGAAGACCAGGTTTGGTGCTGGGCTCAGTACCTGGAGCAGCGTCTGAGGAGAAGGGTGAAGTCCCTGTGCCTGGGCGATGTTTATCCACTCTGTTGAGTGTCCAGGCCCTTGGGCAAGGGTTGGCATTCTGGCAGGGGGGTTGCTGGAGAGGGATGTTGACACCGTGGGGTGAAATCCCGCACACAGCAGCCCCCGACTGTGCCTGCTTTCTCCCTAGAGTTACGGTGCTGAGGACAGCCGGGCCCTGGGGATCCCCGGGGAGAACCTCGCTGGGGTTTACTCAGCCCGAGCGTTCGTGGGCTGGTACAACGGGCTGCCCGAGAACCGGCACGTGAGTAGAGCGGGTTCCGTGGCTGCCTCTCCCACCTGCACCCAGATGCACACACGCAGCTCCAGATTAAGTCCTGCCTGAAAGGCTGCAGTTGGAAAAGATTAGCAGGCACCATGTTAAATCCTTCTTAAATGATAGAAATGTGGACAATTTGCACATCAGTGAGAGCGGATTAGCTGGCCCTGCAGGCTGCCAGCACCTTTTGGCCAGGCCAGATGGGGACCCAGGGGGATGCTCTGCTAAGGAGGTTTTTAGCTGGCCCTGCCGACGTAGCCGCTGCTCCTGGAGGCGCCATCCCAGAGGGAAGGGGACAGGGGACGGCAGGGGTGCCCGGTAGCAGCTCTGTGTCTGCTCTGGGAAGAGGCCAGTGTGGAGTTACCCATCAGAAGGGAGTCGTGGAGGTGCATCCGAGGTGGCAGGCAGCCTGGGGAATTTGCTCGTGTCTGGGCCTCTTCTCTCCCCGCAGCTGAAGCCCGACCTGAGCTGTGAGACGGCGCTGGTCCTGGGCCATGGCAATGTGGCACTGGATGTTGCCCGGATTCTCCTGTCCCCGCTGGATCTCCTCAGGGTGAGTCACAGGTTGATGCTCCGGGCTGTGAAGGCAGAATGTGGCCCAGGTTTGGCAAGATTGAACCTGACTGGGGGTGATTCCCCTGAAGCAGTCTCATGGGCTGCTGGCTTCTAACCTCTCCTGTGTTATGGCCTCATAAAAGTACTTCCAGTGTTGAAGGCCAGTTGAGCAAATAGCTCTGTGTAAAGCAACATGACTTGCTTTTCCTCCCACCCCAGTGTCCCTGCATGTGCAGCCTGGTTTGCTGCTGTTTTTCCTCCTTGGGAAGCTGCTTCGTTCCCCACCTTCCCCCAGCCCTGCTCTGGTCCCGCTGTCCCGTGACGCGTCCGTGTCTTGCAGAAGACGGACATCACTGCCAGCTCCTTGGCAGCCCTGGCCTGCAGCAGGGTGAAGCGCGTGTGGCTGGTGGGCAGGAGGGGCCCTCTCCAGGTCTCCTTCACCAACAAGGTGCGGCTGACGCGTGGGCAGCGCTGCACCTCGTGCACATCCCGGGCTCCCATCCCACGTGGGGAGAGGTGGCACCCGTGGGAGGGGGGCGCTGGGTGTCCGTGTTCCTGTACTCACCTGTGGGCTCCTGGCCTGGGCTGCCGGGGAGGGGAGGCTGCCTCTGTCCATGGCTCATGTTTTCCTGCCTGCAATTCCCAGGAGCTGCGGGAGATGATCAACCTGCCTGGTGCCAGACCTGTCTTGGACCCTGCTGATTTCACAGGCCTTGCAAATGCTGTTAAAGGTGAGGGAAATGTGCTGAGTCCTCCAGACAGGGACTCGCTGTGACAGACAGGCAAGGCACTCTCCTGGATAGGAGAGTTCTGGAGATGCTTGGGAAGTGCAGGATGAACCCAGAAACCTTGCTGTTCTTCCTAATCAGTTCCTGAAGAACAACAGCAACAGTGTGTTACTTCCCTCTGCTCCTCGGGCCGGGTTCTGGTTCCTAAGTGCTCTGGCCATCACCAGGTTCTCCTGCCCGTTTTTATTTCCTAGATCAGAGAGGCTCTTGCCCTGTGTGACCTTAATGTGTGGCACACGAGCACCAGCTGGCCCTGGTGTGGCTTGGCCTCAGGACGGTGGGAGAGAGGCCAGGGAGGCAAGAGGGCAGCCCCGTTCTCCCTGTCCGTGTGCCCTCCTTGCTGTTTGGGACTGTAGCTGTCCTCGGAGTGATGAGGGCAGGAGGCTGGGGAAGGATGGGGGAGCCTGTCAAGGGACAGCCCAGGGCTGTTGATTTAAGAACATCCTGCAGAGCTAAAAAGAGAAGGCTCAGTTAGTCAGGGGTGTCCAGAGACTTGATCTCTTCCACGAGCTGCTGCCTCTGAGCACTAGTAAGACAGCAAAACTGTAAGCTTTGATTTGTGTGCCCCATGGCCTCGAGCCTCAGGGGCTCTCCTGGTCGCTTTGACTTGCTGTTTGTCATCTCAAAGGCGTCCGTGTGACACGCTCTGGATGGGCACTCACACAGGAGCGAGAGCCGCCGTGACGAGGCCTTGGCTCCCCGCCGTTTCCCAGGGGCCTTTTGCTGAGGTCCCTGTTCCGAAGGTCTCTCTCTGCCTCCAGATGCCCCCCGGCCCAGGAAGCGGCTGACGGAGCTGATGATCAAAACGGCTTTGGAGCAGCCGGCGCAGGAGACGGCGGCCGCCCGGGAATGGGGCCTGCGGTTCCAGCGCAGCCCCCAGGAGGTGCTGCCCACGGCCGATGGGACGCGGGCGCGGGGCGTCCGCGTGGCCCTGACCCTGGGGGCTCCGCGGAGACCATCGGCGGTGCCGGCCCGGCCCAAACGGCACCGGGGGATTGGGCGGGAAGCAGTCGCATCCTGGCAGCATTCCCCTTGCTACCGCTCCTCACTGCTGCTGCAGAGGGGCAAATACCTTAGCAAATCCCCGGGGGCTGCCCGGTGCTCAGCAGCCTCCTGCTCCCCTCGCAGGGCTCGGGTGACTCTGCCCAAGCCGTCCCCACGGGGGAGGTGGAGGAGCTCGAGGGCGGGCTGGTCCTCAGCAGCATCGGCTACCGGAGCCTTCCCCTGGACCCGGCCGTTCCCTTCGACCCTCGGCACGGCGTGATCCCCAACAGCTCGGGCAGGGTGCGCGGCGCTCCAGGTCTGTATCCATGGGGCATGCGTGGGGTGTCGAGCACAGCCGGCAGTTTGTGGGTCTGAGGCAACAGGCGCCCATCAGCAAGGACGCTGATACAGGCGGTTGTGTGTGTCAGGCAGTGGAAGCTGAGGAACTGAGCTGCATCTGTCAGACTTTGTAAGACTTGTGCCGTTCCCAGCTCACGTTAGTGACTTCTGTTTTTGCAGCAGCCAGTGCTGAAGGACAGGGTGGTTTTACTAGTCCTTGGAGGCTGTAACTAAGGCAATACAGCCCCAACGGCTGTTTGAGGCTAGTGTGAAGTTGCACAAATTCCCATATCAGCACCAGCAGAGGACCACACTCGGTCACCCCCCGAGAGGTGGATTCTTCTACCACCCACAGCTTGGGGTGGCCCCCAGGGTTGGCAGAGGACAGGGGGGTTCTGGCCACGTGCTGGGCTGAGCGTGGCCCTCGCTGTGCTCTGCAGGGCTGTACTGCAGCGGGTGGGTGAAGAGAGGCCCCACGGGCGTCATCATGAGCACCATGAACGACAGCTTCGACACGGCGCAGGCGGTGCTGGAGGACCTGCAGGCGGGCGTGCTGGACGTGGCTGCCTCCAGAGAGGGCTTCGGGGCCGTGGGGAGCATCCTGCGCAGCCGGGGTCAGTGAGCGTGCGGGGGCACCCAAGGCTGCCGCTCTGGATACCCGCGCTCCCCGTGGAGCTCGGTGTGCAGGGCAGCGCTTCCCACGCGCTCCGTTCGGGAGCTCCGTTCAGGAACTGCGTCGTGCCGCCGTGTCGCTGCTCCAAAGCACAGGGAGCAGCGGGACTTGCATTTGTTCAAAATCAGTGTCATTGCTAAGGTTAATGACCACTTTCTGAGAAAGGCTGTTAAAAGCAGCGCAGACCTTGGGTAAAATGTCACTGTCAGCTGTGGACAGTGAGCTATTGCTCTTGAATGGTTTTCTTAGCAATCCTTCAGGCAAACTTGGGGAAAGATTAAAATGCCCGAGAGAGTCATTTGCTGTTGCTCTGTTTAAAGGCATTCATTTAAAGTGTGTGTTTGCCTCTTAACTGTCCGAGCTTTAACAGCAAACTGGAAGTGTTTTATCCCCTAAGGTGGTGCTATACTCATGTTGTTATGGCTTGCAAAGCTCTGACTAATCAAATTTGACTCGAACCCGCAGTCTCCCTCCTTGCAGCGGTAGAAATTATTACTCCTATATGATGTTGGAGTCTGACAGTGTCGGAAAAGGCCAGGGTTTGCCTTGTACACGAGCTCCCTGCTCACGGGAAGGTGAGACTGAACTCGTTCTTACTTGCTTAACGTCTCCCTCCTGTCTCGCCATCGCCCCAGGCGTCCGCCCGGTTTCCTTCTCGGACTGGGAGAAGATAGATGCTGCCGAAGTGGCAAGAGGAAAAGCTGCTGGCAAACCCCGGGAGAAGATCGTGGATCCCGAGGAGATGCTGCAGCTCATCGGCCACTGATGCCGCGGTGCTGGGAACGTGGTGCCGACCCGCACGGTGCCGACCCGGCAGCCCCGGCAGGTACAAGCAGGGCCAGCGCCGGGGAATGGTGGCAGGCGCGGGACTTTGTGGTAACGAGCTGTAAAGGGCTCCGGATTCCTGAACTGTGTGTGCAAAAAACCATCCGAGGCTGCTGGCTGGCCCCAGGTCTGCAGCCGCCTCTTGGAGGTGGTTCCCGTTGTCCTGCGAGGCCTTTGGCCATTAGGTTATTAGCTGGAGCGAGGAGGTGAGATTGGCTTGTCGCAGGACGGAGATGTGCCCCATGGCAAGCAGCGTCGTGAACTTTCTTGTGTCTCGCTGCCCACCCCGTAGGTCTCAGGCCAAGTGACTTCCTTGCCTTGTTCCTCGTGCCTGGTCTCTGAGCAGATGTGGGTTTTTTTTAATATTGTTTTTTAATAAACCTTTCCAGGAAAGCCAGACTGGACCAACCACTTGAGTCTGGCTTCTTTTTCTGTGCCTGTCTCAATCTCTGGAGCAGCCAGCGCGCACCGCGTGTCCCGTGTCGCGCGTCCCGCGGCGGCCGTGGAGGGGCCGCTCGCTTTGCACCTCGTGCAAGCCCTCAGACCAGGGTGTCAGTTTGCTTCCTGCCTGCCGTGATCGTAACCCGAGCGGGACGTGGGTGCTGGCCGGTGGGGCAATGGGATAACGAGCGCGTCCTGGTTTTGTCCCGGGTCACGGCGGGTCTGTGCGTGCTGCTACCTGCCTCGCGCACGGGGCGCCTCGCTCCCTTCCACTTCATCCTCTTGCTTTTGGCCTGTGCGTTTTGGAGCTTATTAACTGCTCCTCTTAGCCCAAATTGACCGTGGTGACGGTGTCAGGTTTTAAGCCAGATTACGAGGCATGAGCTGTAATCTCCTCCGTATCCCCTCCCCGCGGCGCTGCCGCCCCCGCGCGTCCCGGCCCCGCGCGGCTCCGTGCGGCACCGGGGCCGTGTCCAGCTCTGGGGGTGACGGCCGAGGGTGGACGAAGGCCGGCCCGGAGGGAGGTTGTCCCCGATTCCCCGTCCATCCGCAGCGCTGGCGCGTCCCTGCCGCGCTGGGTGCTCGCCCCTCGCGCACGCTTTGCCGGGCGCTTCCAGGCTCTGTTTCCACTGTCTCCGCTCCAAGCTGAGGCAAGGAGAATCAGTGGCTTCTCTTTTTTTTTGTTTTTTTACCCTTTTTTCCCGCTTCCTTTTTTCTATTTAAATCTCATTTGCAAGCTCATTAAGAAACTCAGGAAATGTGATAGTGGGACCTCATACGCAAACGAGCAATAAAGCTTTTGTGGAACAGCTGCTTGTGTGATGTGGCTCTGGTTACGTCTCGTGGCTGATGCAGCCCTAATGCTGAACCCTTGAGCAGGAGATTACATCAGCACTGGATTTGGAGGCAGATATGTGCTGGGGAAGGGGACGCGGAGCCGAGGGGGCCGCGAACGGGCAGGTAGGGGCAGGGGCCCCGGCCCGGCCCCGGGGTTTCTTCACGTTCCCTCCACGTCGATGCCAAGGCGCTTTGGTGGCCGTGATGCAGGTCGCGGTGCGCGGGCCGAGGACGGCGAGGGGCTGTTCCCAAGCAGGTGCTGCTGCAGGGTAATTGTGGGGATGTGACCACAGCTTTAAGGGAGCGCCTTGCTTTGCGGAGCCCAATATCCCGACACGGCCTGGAGTTAATGGGCTGCTCTGGAAAAGCCACAGTGCCATCAAGGTCACCAAAAGGTAGGCAGGGGGCTGAGCCTCGGTGCACCGTAACAGTCACATAACCCCCCGTTGGATTCCCTTGGCTGCCCCTTCCCCTGCTGCCTGCGGGTCGATCCCCGGTCCCGGGGGCCGCCCGTTCCTCCCGGGGGC